ACCTCCCCTGTGTACTGATTGACAGTGAACAGAGAGGCGTCTGTGGCCTCCGACACTCTGTAGGAGATCCAGGCGTTATGGCCCGAGTCAGCGTCCACGGCCGTCACCTTGGTAACCAGGTGACCCGCTTTAGCGGAGCGGGGCATCCTCTGATGAGAGAGGGAGCCCAGGGCGGCGGAGGACGGGTAAATAACCGCGGGGGCGTTATCGTTCTGGTCCAGGATAAAAACATGGACAGTGGCGTTGCTGCTGAGACTCGGAGAGCCCTGGTCCTTTGCCTGGACCTGGATCTGAAACACCTTCAGCTTCTCATAGTCAAACGAGTGCATGCTGTAGATGCTGCCGTTCTCTGAGTTCATGTAAACATAAGATGAGACAGAAACGTCCTGAACTTTAGAGTCCAGAATAGAGTAAGAGATCTTTGCGTTTTCTCCCGCGTCTGAATCTGATGCTGACACTGAGCACAAAATGTTTCCTGGAGGACGATTCTCTTTCACATAAACAACATAAGAAAGTTGGGTGAAAACTGGAGGATTATCATTTACATCCAACAGTTCTACAGTTATTGTTTTTTCACTCTTCAACGGAGGTTTTCCTGAATCAGTGGCACTTATTTTCACACTGTACTGAGTGTTTTTCTCACGATCCAGCGGCCCGTTTGTCACTAACGAATAATGTTTAGAAATGGACGGATTTAACTTAAAGGGAGATTTGGKAGACACGGTTAAAGTAACTTTACCATTATCACCTGAATCTGGGTCTTTAGCACTTATTATTGCAATCACAGTTCCTAYAGCTGAATCCTCAGGAACAGGTGATGTTAAAGAAGTAACAATTATTTCAGGAACATTGTCATTGATGTCAACTATTTTGATTTCCACACTACAATGTCCATCCATCTCAGGATTACCTTTATCTTTAGCAGTTACATCGAATCTGTGTAAGATGGTGTTTTCATGGTCTAATTTGCTTTTGACAACAATAATTCCAGTTGAAGGGTTTATATCAAATAATGATAAAATCAGATCTGAAGTCTGTTCTGCAAATAAATATTCAATTTCTCCGTTTAACCCTTCGTCTGCATCTGTAGCTTTTACGTGCAGGATTTCACTTCCAGGTGTTGCACTTTCACTGACATTCGCCTCATAAACTTGTTTMTCGAATTGTGGCGCATTATCGTTAWTATCCAGCACTATCACTGTGATTTCAGACGTCCCTGAACGCACCGGGTCTCCCCCATCCACAGCGGTGAGGATGAGGTTGTGCACAGGCTGCTTTTCTCGGTCTAGAGCCTTTTCCAGAACCAGTTCGGGGATTTTTCTCCCATCTTTGTGATTTTTCACCGTCAGTTTGAAATGCTCGTTTTTGCTGACAAGGTACGTGCGTACGGAATTAGTGCCCACGTCAGGATCTTGTGCGCTTTCTAAAGGGAACCGCGCGCCCGGGTTGACCAGCTCCGCAATTTTCACCACCTTCTCCTTCGTGATAAAACTCGGAGAATGATCGTTCGTGTCCTGGATTTCTATTTCCACCCTGTGCAGCTGCAGAGGGTTATCTATGACGAGCTCCAAAGGCAGCAGACACGACGGGCTTTGTCCACACAGCTCCTCTCTGTCTATTCTGTCCGTCACCACCAGCTCTCCTTTGCCCAAGTCCACATTAAAGTACTGCTTACCGGCTTCAGAGGTGATCCGCAGCTTACGCCGATACAGCTCAGACACAAGCAAACCCAAATCTTTTGCAAGGTTCCCCACCACGGACCCTTGTTTCAGCTCCTCCGGGATGCTGTAGCGGGTCTGCCCCTCTATTGTACTCCACAAGAGAAAGAAATGATGCCACCACAGAAACACCTGCCAGATCGGCAATTTCATCCGTCTTATTCCACGTCCAGAAACCTCCATATTGTTTCCCAGCTCCTTAATTGAAGTGTAAAAGGTTTATAATCCAAAGATGGGGCTCGACATATAAAAGGAAGAGTCATGCTTTGTGTCTGCGTGTGCATCCCTCTCCTCCGGTGCAGAACATTGTTACGCCTGCAGACTGGAGCGGCTCCCTGAGACAGACTAGATCTCTTTGTACAGCTCAGGATTTCATTGGTGCACGAGGCAGAGTGATTCCCACTAATCGTGGCAGGCCAGAACAGTGACGTATGATTCTGCTTTCAACTGTTATACAAATAAAATCCTAAAAGCTTCTGCGTATAAAGCAGGCCCTAAAGACATTCCCATAATTATATATAT